TTGTGACAAAGGGTCTGCTCATCATCTGTGGGACTGTACCTTGCTCTTCACTCTGTAAACCTGTTATCTTGCTCTTGTTCTGTGATCCTATGTTTCTCAATCTCTTTTTGTCCCATCATTCTTCGGCCAGAGTGCACCAAGACAGAGACGTTTCAGACTGCGACCAACAAACATTTTCGTTACTGTAGAACTAAATGAATGAAAAGGGGGGAGGGAACAGGATTTGCTGTTATTTTTAGCATACCTATACATTTCAATATTCACATACATCACTTTCCAATTTAAAAATACTCATTTTGCTGCCAGGCGTGGTGGTTACACCTGTCATCCTAGCACTCTGGGAGGCCGAAGCGGGAGGATTGCTCGAGGTCAGGAGTTGAGACCAGCCTGAGCAAGAGCGAGACCCTCTCTCTACCAAAACATAGAATAAAATACTTGGCAACAAAATATATGAAACAATTAGCCAGGCATGGTGGCTGCATGCCTGTAGTCCCAGGTACTGGGAGCTGAGGCAGGAGATCGCTTAGCCTGGAGTTTGAGTTGCGGAGCGAGGCTGACGCCACAGCACTCACTCTAGCCTGGCCAACAGAGTGAGACTCTGTCTCAAAAAAAAAAAAAAATACTCATTTCCACTTGCTTTTACTTGCCTCAACCAGCTACTGTAAGATGCCCTTAAGTCAGTATATGCTTTATAAACTTAAAAAAAAAAAGGCTCACTCTCTTTAGTTACATTCTGATGACATCTGCTTAACCAATTTGGGATGCGGTAGTTGATGACCAGGTATTTAGGTCCTGCCCAAGAGAGGCTTCAGCACATGCACTCACTCACACTCTAGCGATCTGGGGTGTGGGTCCCTGAAGGGAGAACCCAGGAGACCTAGTTGTCTGAGCTAATTGCCGTTCAGTCCAGCGCCAGGGAGCTGGTTTTGTTTGCATAAGCTGTGTTGTTTTTCTAAACTAATCATGCCAGCCTTCTCTTAAAGCATGTGGAGTTAGAAGACTAGGGCCTAGAGGAGCTTCCTGTGAGAACTTCTTTCTGTTGCTCCCTTTCTCTGATAGCGGCTTTGTGACTACTGCGCTTTACTCCTTTTCTCCCTAGTGACTAATTTGTCAGCAGTTTTGGACAAGTTGAACAACAGAGCCTGGCTAATACAGCTCTGGTTTAAGCAGTGACTGACAGGAGAGCAAAGTTTATCTGACCAATAGGAAAGAGAATCAGATAGGAACTGAGCTCTACTTCCCTGAAAACAAAGGCTGGAGACTTTTTAAAAGCTGAGGTATGACGCCCACGCCTGTAATCCTAGCACTTTGGGAGGCCGAGGCCGGCGGATTGCTCAAGGCCAGGAGTTCGAAACAGCCCTGAGCGAGACCCCGTCTCTACCAAAAAATAGAAATAAATTAATTGACCAACTAAAAATAATATATACAAAAAAATTAGCCGGGCATGGTGGTGCATGCCTGTAGTCCCAGCTCTCGGGGAGGCTGAGGCAGAGGATCGCTGAGCCCCGGGAGATTGAGGTTGCTGGAGCCAGGCTGATGCCACGGCACTCACTCTAACCTGGGCAACAAAGTGAGACTCTGTCTCAAAAAAAAAAAAAAAAGTTATTAAAAAGCTGAGGTATGCTAAGGGGAAGGTATTGGAATCTTAAGGGTGGTTGATTGATGAGACTAGGCCATCTGTGTTTGTTAATTGGCCTTAACCACAGGAGAAAGAGACTTCTGCTGTCTCTATGACAGGAGCAAAGCACCCACCTCCCACTGGGACTCGTTATCGCCCTGAATGTTTGTTTGCATTTTAAAGCAATGGCTCTTAAGCCCTTGAGGAAACCATGTTAGGTGGCAGACCTGTCTCAAAGGGTAGAGAAAGCTTTTATAATTGTAAGATTTCTAAAGTAACTTTATCTTTAGCAAAATAAGAGGGGATTCAGGGGCCTGTCTGCTTATCACTAGGTTTTGGCCAGAACAAACAGTAAACCCTTGTGACACTGAGCTTTTTCAAGGGGGTCCGGTTGGGGGGTGTCAACCCAGGGACAAGGCCTTAAGTTGCTGGAAGCCATGCTAGAGTATGGTCAAGTCTTTCAGCACAGAGGTTTGGACAGAGTCACTATGTGCCAGGAGTTCTGCAGTTTTCAGAACAATGTTGTTAAAATCTGATTAATCCGGCTTTGTGTGTGTGTGTGTGTGTGGACAGAGCTTCAATTGCCCAGTCTTTATTCCTTAATCACTATGGAAATTATAGGGGTGTAGGTGGGGAAAGGACAGAGATACCTTTAAGATATTTTACTTACATTAAAAAAAACTAAGCTTCTTTTCAAAGAAAACAAAAACATGACAGAGCCAGCACCAGATCTGAAAGATCTGTTGAAACCAGCAAGAGAAATTGACTTTCACCTGTGGTGGCCGCAGCAGCTAATTCCTGGTCCAGAAGACACCGTGCAGAATTGGTGGGTTTTGAAGAAGCAAGCCCATTTCCCGCCCTTCCGTTGTCTGCCTGCCTCCAGCCTGAGCCCAGTCCAGCAGTGTGGACAGGGAGAGTTTGGCCTGAGAGAGAGGGAGGGCAGCGATCCTAGCAGGGAGCTACCGGTCTGTTTCTGTACATGCCCAAATCGGCTCTTGGAGAGACCTGCTGGGCCTCAGGGTTCTTAATCTGGCTTTTAAGATGGTCAAAATTTTATGTCCACATCTGAACCACACTACTGAAAACAGTGAATTATGCACTTAAAAGTTAAATACTTGCTGGCCGGGCACGGTGGCTCGCACCTGTAAGGTGGCTCACGCCTGGAATCCTAGCTCTCTGGGAGGCCGAGGCAGGCGGGTTGCTCGAGGTCAGGAGTTCAAAACCAGCCTGAGCAAGAGTGAGACCCGGTTTCTACTATAAATAGAAATAAATTAATTGGCCAACTGATATATATATAATAACTTAGCCGGGCATGGTAGCGCATGCCTGTAGTCCCAGCTACTCGGGTGGCTGAGGCAGGAAGATCGCTTGAGCCCAGGAGTTTGAGGTTGCTGTGAGCAAGGCTGATGCCAGGGCACTCACTCTAGCCTGGACAACAAAGCGAGACTGTCTCAAAAAAAAAAAAAAAAAAAAAGTTAAATACTTGCAACATCAATGAGCTAATGAATCTAAAAGATGTAAACCAGATTATAGACTGCTTTGGACAATCTGGGTTTCTGACCTTCAGTTTGGCTAATTTTGCCTCTTGAGTTTACTGCCAACGGTGTTGCCCTCTGTTCCTGTTATAGAATAGTCACTTCTCCTTCCATAGACGTGGAAGGGTAAAAGTGGCAGTGGGGAATATGTAACAGAGGGTATAGGCTGGAAAAGAAAATAAAGGCAAAAATGTTTTGTCTCTTTAAAACTTTCCCCACTCATTCTGGAGAACTAAAACCTGTATCCCTGCCTCTCTTTAAAACTTCCCCCACTCCTGTTGGAGAACTAAAACCTGTATCCTTGCCTCTCTTTAAAACTTCCCCCATTGCTTTTGGAGAACTGCATGCCTGGTCTGCGTAAGGCCAGCAGTCGGGAGGGGCAGGAGAATGTTCTTTGTGCTAAAGGAGATGGCTCAAGGGACCCGTTCGGTCTGCTGTCTGAGATGGGACAGACCGAGATCGGACAACGTTTAGAATCATAAACTGTAGCTGAATAGCCTAGAACTGAAAACCTTCCCTTTAAAAGCTCTGCATTTCTGCTTATGATTAGCACGATGGCATTTTAGACAGGAGTCTCCATCCTCCTCATTTGCCAGCAAATTAATAAACTCCTCCTTAAACCACTTGTCCTGGTTCTTCCTGTGTGGCCTTTGGGACAAGTGCTGAACTTCCGGTAACAATCCTGCTCCAGGCTGCATGCCTATTTCACAACTTCACTCCTTCATGGGTTTCCAAGAGGCACACCCAGCAAAGCTTTGTAAAAATTAGCAATGGTAAGGCCAGGCTCGGTGGCTCACACCTGTAATCCTAGCGCTTTGGGAGGCTGAGGTGGGAGGACTGCTTGAGGCCAGGAGTTCAAGGCCAGCTGAGCAATAGTGAGGCACTATCTTGACAAAAAAATAGAAAAATTAGCTGTTAGTGGTGACTCACAACTACAGTCCCAGCTACTTGGGAGGCTGAGGCAGGAGGATTGCTTGAGCTCAGGAGTTCAAGACCAGCTCTGAGCAAGAGCGAGAAAAAATACAAAGAAATTAGCTGGACAGCTAAAAATATATAGAAAAGATTAGCCAGGCATGGTGGCGCATGCCCGTAGTCCCAGCTACTTGGTGGGCTGAGGCAGGAGGATCGCTTGAGCCCAGGAGTTGGAGGTTGCTGTGAGCTAGGCTGATGCCACGGCACTCTAGTCTGGGTAACAGAGAGAGACTCTGTCTCAAAAAAAAAAAAAGAAAAAAAGAAAATTATCAATTGTAACAAACAACTTGGTTTAAAAAAAGAGAAGCGCCTCAAGATGCGAGGATTGGAAGTCTCTTGGCTACCTCCTCTTCGTGTAACTACGTATTATTCAAGAAATGACTAGCTTCTATAACCCCTTCTTGCCTTAAAAAAACAAAACAAAAAACACTAAACTTTTCTCAAATCCCATTTCTTTCCTCTTTCCTTCCTTCCACTTCCTCTTCCCTCTCAGGTTTCCTCAGCTCTCGCGCCGCCTCCGCCTTCCCCTCAGCCGCGCCCCGACTGCGCCTGCGCACACCGGGAGGGTCGTAAAGGAAGGCGCCAGGAACGGCGGCACGACTTCTGTTTCGCTGCCGCAGCCGTAAAGCGTCGCCGCGCGCGCTCCGGCCGGCGGGCGGGCGGGCAGGCAGGGGCGGTCACGCGGGCCCGGGTTGCAGTTCCCGGCACCTGACGCTGGGAGCGTGGGCGTCACGCGCCGGTTTCGGAGTTCCTAGCTGCGCTGGGTGGGGGGAAAAAGCGCTTGCTATTCGGAGAGGGCTGTGTGTGTATGTGTGTGTGTTTATGATAGATAACAGATGCAGCCGCTCCGTGTCGGGCGCGCGCGGCGGGCCGCCGGGTCCTAGTGCCGGCCGGGCGCCGGGGCCCTGAGGCGTGGGCTGGCGGAGCCGCCCGCGGGCCGCTGATGGCCGGACGCTTCCTGGGAAAGGCGTTAGCCGCCGCGTCGCTCTCCGTGGCCTTGGCCTGTGCGGCCGTCGGGTCCTCGTGCCGCCGCGGCGTCCCCGCGTACAGGTATCTCCGTCGCCCCTGCAGGTGCCGGCCGCCACTCGGGGGTGGGGACCGGGGCCCTCCCGCGGCTTCGCTCGCGCCCCGCACCTCCGTAACCGCGCGCGAGTTCCCACAAACGCTCCCGAAATGCCCCGACCTGCTTTTTTGAGGAGAAAAAACAAAAACAAAAACAAAATAGTGGCAGGGGCCTCTCTTTGATCTCTGGAGTTTAAAATTTGCCACGCCGCCCCCCTCCCCCATGTAAGTTTGCCGCCGTTTGGGATTTATCACCAGTCTCGATGGCTCTCGTTTGGGGGGCAGTGTTATATTCCCCCGCCACTTTTTATTTTTATTTTTTTTCTTCCGGCCGATACTTAAAACGTTATTATTAAAATTAATATATACGCACACACAGAGTTTAAAAAATGTAGGATTGTATAGCGTCTCACACTGCCGCCTCCTTTCTGTTCTTCCCTTGAGCAGTTTATATTCTTTGAGTCAGTATGAACGCCCCCTTTTACCTTCCTGTTTTATGTAGGTAAACAGTCTCTTTTTTTTTTTTTTTTTAGCTTTATAGGTCTTGTAACAGTCTCTTGAATACATAAAGGTAATGATAATTAGAGCAAAAAGTTAACCTGTTTCCTGAATTGATCTGCATGCTATTGGTCAGTTATTCTGTTACTTTTTTTTTTTTTTTTGGTCCCTTCTTTTGGTGCTTTTTGTCAAACATCCGATGGACACTGTGTTATCTGTGTTTTGTTGAATGTAAGCAATAGGCTTTGTTTTCTCTACACGAGAGGGCTGATTGACTTGTAATTAATTTACTAATTTGAATTGTAAAGTTTAGTAAGCCCTAGTTTCTGGTGTGTTCTGTAACCCCAGTGTTCACAGTGGGGGTCCTAGCCCTTCATTTTTTAAAAAAACTTTATCCTTTACCTTGTATTGCAGACTTTGTGTTTGGAGGGAAGGAAGAAAACCAGAGTCTTTTCCATGTTAACTGTTCCACTGCCAATTTACCACCTTTGGGCCCACTGACTTTAAGCTTGAACCTCTCTCTAGCTCTTCTAGGAATGGCATCTTTCTGTCACCCTTTTGTGCATAATTTGTTCTACTCTGGTTTTGTAAGTCAGTATGATTCCAGCCATTTTCCATCTTTCTGAAATTGGTTAAAATCTTATCATTCACTGGGGGCATCGTGTTTGTTTCTGTGGATTTTATTCCCTTTTATGCAACTTTATCTTCTTTCAGTGGGCTTTGGGGAGGGAAGGAATACACACGCATGTGCTCTCTGGAAGTCACTAACGAAATTTCTGTTAAATGCCACCAGAACAATGTAAAGCTGCTTGGCAGTTATTCTTCCGATGAGGCAGGTGTATCCAGAACCAGAGACTGAGTTCTGCTTTGGAAGAAAATGCCAAAATTTAAGCCAACAAATATGTACTGAGTACCTGGTATTTAACACTGCAAAGCATCCTGGGATAAACAAACGTATCATTAAGAATTTTACCACTGATTAATAATCTGGGCAAATCTGGAAAGGGATAGTTTTGCGGTTAGTTTTTGTGATCTGATTAGAAAGTTCCAGACGTCTATTTTCTAGAAAAAAGGTAGTATACAGAGATACAGTGAGTGCTTCCAAATTTCCCAACAGGATCGATCAGCAGCACGTGTGGAGAACGTTGTATATTTCATTCCTGTGAATACATAAAACATGTGTGCGAGCTAAAAATGAAGTGGAGATAGCATAGCATGGTGTTAATGGCCAGGTATTCTGAGCCAGTTTACCTGGATTTGGATCCTTGGTAAACTTATTTAGCCTCTCAGGGCCTTAATGTCCTTATTTCTAAAAGAAGGATAATAGTACCTAAACTCAGGGTTGTGAGGATCAAGTGAGTTACTGTATTACAGGGGTTAGGACAGTGTAATCCACATAGCAAGCACTGTATACATTTAGCTATGATTACGACATTATGGTTATTGCAGAGTTCCTTTATGTCAAAGCGTCATGTCGGTATTACATTTCTTCAAGTTTTCCAGTCTTAAGAATTGGTTTTTGCTTTGTAAAATGAACTTTTATCAACTACTTAATTTCCATTAGGCCAAATATATATCTTGCACTTATTTAATAATGCAATAAAAGCCTAGGCTGTGTACGCTTATTTAATAATGCAATAAAAGCCTAGGCTGTATACATGTATTTTATAAGTATTCTTGTTCTGATACCTTTCAGTGTATTGCATTTAAGCAGCAGATACATTCTTTTTTTTTTTTTTTTTTTTTTTGAGACAGACTCTCGCTTTGTTGTCCAGGCTAGAGTGAGTGCCGTGGCGTCAGCCTAGCTCACAGCAACCTCAAACTCCTGGGCTCAAGCAATCCTCACCATGCCCAGCTAATTTTTTTTTTTATATATATATCAGTTGGCCAATTAGTTTCTTTCTATTTATAGTAGAGACGGGGTCTCGCTCTTGCTCAGGCTGGTTTTGAACTCCTGACCTTGAGCAATCCGCCCGCCTCGGCCTCCCAAGAGCTAGGATTACAGGCGTGAGCCACAGCGCCCGGCCTATTCTTTTTTTTTTGAGACAGAGTCTCACTTTGTTGCTCAGGCTAGACTGAGTGCCGTGGTGTCAGCCTAGCTCACAGCAACTTCAATCTGCTGAGCTCAAGCGATCCTTCTGCCTCAGCCTCTGGAGTAGCTGGGACTACAAGCATGCGCCACCACGCCCGGCTGATTTTTTCTATATATATTTTTAGTCGGTCAATTGATTTCTTTCTATTTTTAGTAGAGAGGGGGTCTCGCTCAGGCTGGTTTCGAACACCTGACCTTGAGCAATCCACCCGCCTCAGCCTCCCAGAGTGCTAGGGATTACAGGCGTGAGCCACTGTGCCCAGCCAGGTATATGGCATTCTTGAAGGTACAACTATGGAGACAATAAAATGACCAGTGGTTGCCTCCCACCAAGGAGTGGGAGGCAGGGAAGGGATGAATTAAGGTAGCACAGGGGAATTTAAAAATAGACTTTGTTTTTTTAGAGCAGTTTTAGGTTCATAGCAAAATGGAGTGGAAGATAGAGATTTCCCATATACCTCCTGCCCCCATACTCTGCATGGATAGCCTTCCCCATTACCAGTGACCCTGGCAGAGAGGTGCATTTGTTACAATTTAACCTACATTGGCCCATCATTATCACCCCAAGTCCCGTAGCCCCCATTAGGGTTCACTCTTGGTATTGTACTTTGCATTTGGCTACGTTTATAATGACATGTGTCCACCGTTATAAAATTGTAAACATACCACTCTCTCTGCTTTTGGAGCATGGCAGGGAAACTATTCTGTATGAAACCATAATGGTGGATACATTATATATACTGTATACATTGAGGAGGTGTAGTAGGCAGTCCTTGTATGTCAGGTTAAGAAGACTTTCATTTTTTATTTTATTTTTTTTAAATTTTTAAAGTTTTCGTTGTCCAGCTCATTTCTTTCTATTTTTAGTAGAAACCCTTGCTTAGGCTGGTCTCGAACTCCTGAACTCAAATGATCCTCCTGCCTCGGCCTCCCAGAGTGCTAGGTTTACAGGTGTGAGCCACCGCACCTGGTCCATATCAAGTTCTTAACACGAGTTAGAGGATAAGGTGATGATGTGGGTGGAGGTAGAAAGGGGGAAAGGAGGAAAGCAGAGGGAGATGGAAAAGAAGAGGGAATCCTGTAATCCCAGCACTCTGGGAGGCCGAGGCGGGAGGATCGCTCAAGGTCAGGAGTTCGAAACCAGCCTGAGTAAGAGCGAGACCCTGTCTCTACTAAAAAGAGAAAGAAATTAATTGGCCAACTAAAAATATATAGAAAAAATGAGCCGGGCATGGTGGCGCATGCCTGTAGTCCCAGCTACTCGGGAGGAGGCTGAGGCAGGAGGATCGCTTGAGCCCAGGAGTTGGAGGTTGCTGTGAGCTAGGCTAACGCCACGGCACTCTAGCTGGGCAACAGAGTGAGACTCTTGTCTAAAAAAAAAAAAAAAATTTAGCTCTATTTTTAAAATTTTTATATTTTAAAGTTTCTCACAGATGTTGGACCTTTATATTAATTATCTATTAAAATTTGGATTTTCTGATTTTTAAAAGTTTTCAAAATTGAGAAGTATGGTTTGGGGTCTTTGAATTGGGTTCTTTAACTAATATATTTTTTGGTATTTACGTAAAACTTTTTTCCTCCCCAGAAACTCACTCTCATCCTGTTGGTTTCATCGTACTTCCGGCACCATGTCTGGCTCTAATGGTTCCAAAGAGAATTCCCACAACAAGGCCCGGACGTCTCCTTACCCAGGTTCAAAGGTTGAGCGCAGCCAGGTTCCTAACGAGAAAGTGGGCTGGCTTGTTGAATGGCAAGACTATAACCCTGTCGAATACACTGCAGTCTCTGTGTTGGCCGGCCCCAGGTGGGCAGATCCTCAGATAAGGTGAGCAGGTAAACTACCTTGAGCTGGGTGTAAGGCTTTTAGAGAAGGTAACGGTTGCATTTGTAAATCATCTTTTTTGACACCTGAAAAGTCTTTTTTTTTTTTTTTTTTTGAGACAGAGTCTCACTCTGTTGCCCGGGTTAGAGTGCTGTGACATCAGCCTCGCTCACAGCAACCTCCAACTCCTGGGCTCAAGCGATCCTCCTGCCTCAGCCTCCCGAGTAGCTGGGACTACAGGCATGCGCCACCACGCCCGGCTCATTGTTTCTATATGTTTTTAGTTGGCCAATTAATTTCTTTTTATTTATCGTAGAGATGAGGTCTCACTCTTGCTCAGGCTGGTCTCGAACTCCTGACCTTGAGCGATCCACCCGCCTTGGCCTGCCAGAATGCTAGGATTACATGCGTGAGCCACCACGCTTGGCCAGTAATGTAGACTTTTTTTTGGTAGCATGTAGGAAGAGCTCCAATTCTGCCAGTAATCCTTTCCAGAGGGCTTAATAAATCTAGTAAGAATATACGTCTTTGTATTCTAAGATATTTTGGTTAAAAAGGTTTTTTTTTTCCCCTTAGAAATTCTTTTGAAGGAATAAGATGGATTTGTGAATGAAAACTTAAAAATTTGCTGTTTCAGGAATACTGCTTATGGATAAGAGATCGACTTGCAACATTAAGCTGTTGGTAATCTCGAATCATTATTTCTTATTTTGCATTGCTATTCTCATTACAGCGAACGTAACTTTTCTCCCAAGTTTAACGAAAAGGATGGGCATATTGAGAGAAAGAGCCAGAATGGCCTGTATGAGATCGAAAATGGAAGACCTAGGTAGGTGTTGGGAATAGAACATCTTACAAATGGGTCTTTGAAAGGTTGGAAAGATAGTTAACATTTATAAAATGCTTGCATGTGCCAGACATTGTATAAGAGTACTTATGTATGTGATCTAACTAAATCTTCACAATAAACCCTGAAGGTGGATACTTTTAGTTCCACTGTACAGATAAAAGAGAGTGTACATGTTTGCATACAGCTAGTACCGTGTTTCCCCCAAAATAAGACAGGGTCTTATATTTATGTTACCTCAAGAAGACACCCTAGGGCTTATTTTCAGGGGATGTGTTATTTTTTTAAGTATGGTACAACCACTACATTGATTGAAATATAGTTAAGTTGTCTTCTTCTGGAACATCATCCTCACTCTCCAGACCCCGAATCCCATCCTGAATGTCTTGTGACTCTGTTTCCTTTAGAGCCACCGGCCCCGATCTCTCCTGTCGAGCACTAGAGCTCTCACGGGGCGGATGAGAAGGGCTGCTCGTGTTCTTTCCCGCTCCGTGACGACAGGCCTGGGTTGTGCAGATGCGCTGCGCAGCCACGCCCGTCACTAGGGCTGATTTTCATAGCCACGCCCACCACCAGGACTGATTTTCATAGCCACGGCCATCACCAGGGCTGATTTTCGGGGTAGGGCTTCTATTGTGCACATGCTTAGACATCCTGCTGGGGCTTATTTTATAGGGAGGTCTTATTTTGGTGGAAACACGGTAATACAACTAGCAAGCAGCAGAGGCAGATTTTGAATGCATCTTTTTGTAACTCTGCCTTAAATGTAGAAATTATTAATAAATTAACAGAGAAAGATTGAAAACGATGTTTGGTGGTTATTTATTATGGTATTGTGTCTTTTCAACATTTGTATAAATTTAGTGGGTTCAAGTGCAAGTCTGTTAAATGAGTATATTGTACAGTGGGGAAGTCTGAGCCTTTGGTGTATCCTTCACCGGAATAGCACATACATTGTATCCATTGAGTAATTTCTCAACACCCATCTCCTTTCTGCCCTCCCACCTTTCCAAGCCTCCAGGGTCTAGTATTCCACACTCCGTGTACACGTTACTTAACTGCCACTTATAAGTGAAACCTGTGGTATTTGACTTTCTGTTTGAGTTGTTTCCCTTAATATCATGGCCTCCAGTTCCATCCATGTTGATGCAAAAGACATGAAATAAAAATACTTAGGCGTGCCTCTTTAATACTGGATTATGGCATTAAGTTAAATAGTTGACATTTATTTATTATTTATTTTTAATTTTTTTTATTAATACATATTTTTTCATTTTATTATTATTATTTTTCTCTCATGAACTTATCTTGTAGGATAGCATATAATTTTTTTTTTTTTTTTGAGACAGAGTCTCGCTTTGTTTTCCAGGCTAGAGTGAGTGCCTTGGCGTCAGCCTCGCTCACAGCAACCTCCAACTCCTGGGCTCAAGCGATCCTCCTGCCTCAGCCTCCCGAGTAGCTGGGACTACAGGCATGCGCCACCATGCCCGGCTCATTTTTTCTATATATATATTAGTTGGCCAATTAATTTCTTTCTATTTATAGTAGAGACAGGGTCTCGCTCTTGCTAAGGCTGGTTTTGAACTCCTGACCTCGAGCGTTCGAGCGATCTGCCCGCATTGGCCTCCCAGAGTGCTAGGATTACAGGCGTGAGCCACCCAGAACGGCCTTGACATTTTTTTTTAATAAAAGCTTTTAGTATACTTGAAATCTATGGTATCTTAAGTAATACTAATACCTTTATTATATGCTACAAAAATATGTAATGCCAATAATAAAAATCCAGAAACCACTGAGGAAAGTAGACTTAAAGATGTAACAGGACCAGCTTTAGCAGGAAGGGTTGTCAGAGAGTAGAGTAGGAGAGGAGAATGTTGACAAAGGGAAGAGGAGGTGGCAGTATCCCAGAAGGTAAATGGTAATTGTTTTAGAGATAGATGATTAGGCGTAGATCATTCTAAGAGTTCAGTAAGGTTCTAGCTTGAATTTAGGAATATAGATGAAAAGTGAAACAGATTCCTACCCTGTAGAACCACTTTGGAAAATGAGATCCTCCTCCTGGATCCCATCCGGAGTTTAACACATACACAAAAGAAACATTCAATGGCAATAGAATGGCGTATGTCATTTCAGTGCCAGATATGTTGTATCTGGTTGCAAGGCAATACTATTCTCTTCTTACTGCTTGTACTACTTTATCTTGGGCCATATTAAGTCGGGTTAAGAACGATAAACACACTCAATTGATTTTATGTTTCTTTCCTCAGAAATCCCGCAGGACGGACGGGGCTGGTCGGCCGGGGGCTTTTGGGGCGCTGGGGCCCCAATCACGCTGCGGATCCCATCATAACCCGGTAAGACCCAGATAAAACACTCTAGTAGCAAAGAGCTGAGTGATGGGAAAAATACCAGTTATAGCCGTGTGTGTGTATGTGTGTTTTATGCATGTATATATGTATACACATGAATATGTGTGTTTGTGAGTCTGTGTGTGTGTGCAGCCATGCATCACACGAGGATACGTTCTGAGAAATGCATTGTTGGTGGTTTCGTTGTGCAGACATCGTGGAGTGTAGTTACACAAACTTAGACGGCAAAGCCTACTACACAGCCCTGTTGCTTCTTGGCTCCAAACCTGTACACTGTGTTACTGTACCGAATACCGTAGGCAGTTACAACATGGTAGTCAGTTGTGTATCTAAACATAGAAAAGGTTCAGCAAAAATACAGTGTAAAAGATAAAAAATGGCACGCCTATATAGGGCACTTAACCATGAATGTAGGACTGGAAGTTGCTCTGGGTGAGTGAGTAGTGAGTGAATCTGAAGGCCTAGGTCATTATGAAATGCTGCTGTAGACTTTATAAACACTGTACAGTTAGGCTATCCTAAATTCATAACAATTTTTTTTCTTTAATCATTAGCCTTAGGTTGCTGTAACTTTTTTACTTTATACACTTTTATTTATTTATTTTTATTTTTTTATTATTATGATAAAAAGTTGACTGGCCAATTTTTTCTATTTTTAGTAGAGATGGGGTCTCGCTCTTGCTCAGGCTGGTCTGCAACTCCTGACCTTGAGCGATCCTCCCACCTCGGCCTCCCAGAGTGCTAGGATTACAGGCGTGAGCCACCGTGCACAGCCTACTTTATACACTGTTAAATTTTTGTTAATTTTTGACTCTTTCGCAATATCCCTTAGCTTACAACACAAACACATTGCTTAGCTGTACAAAAATGTTTTCTTGGCCGGGCGTGGTGGCTCACGCATGTAATCCTAGCTCTCTGGGAGGCCAAGGTGGGCGGATTGCTCAAGGTCAGGAGTTCAAAACCAGCCTGAGCAAGAGCGAGACCCCGAGACCCCGTCTCTACTATAAATAGAAAGAAATTAATTGGCCAACTGATATATATATAAAAAAATTAGCCGGGCATGGTGGCGCATGCCTATAGTCCCAGCTACTCGGGAGGCTGAGGCAGGAGGATCGCTCGAGCCCAGGAGTTTGAGGTTGCTGTGAGCTAGGCTGACGCCAAGGCCCTCACTCTAGCCTGGACAACAAAGCGAGACTCTGTCTCAAAAAAAAAAAAAAAGTTTTCTTTTTTTTTTTCCCATTTATTTATTTATTTTTATTTGGGCATATTATGGGGGTACAGATTTTAAGGTTTCAATAAATGCCCTTCCCCCACGTCCCCTACAAGTCTGAGTTTCCAGCATGACCATCCCCCAGATGGTGCACATCTCACTCATTATGTATGTATATACCCGTCCCCTTCCCCCATGTTTTCTTTTTTTATAGCCTTATTCTACAAGCTTTTTTTCCCTTTTAAAAATCATTTCTTTTCTTTTTAAACTTTTTAGTTAAAAACTAAGACAAAACACACACAGTAGCCTAGGCCTACCCAGGGTGAAGATCATTGCTATTACTGTCTTCCACCTCTGTCCCTGCCCGCGGGACCTTTTGTTACTCGCAGGGGGCGAGGGGGACTGTGCCTGAAAGAGATGGGCGAGAGAAAGGAACGAGAGCAAGCAAAGGGTTGTCAAGGTCTACTTTACTTGGAATTTTAGTAGGTTTTATATACAGAAACAAGGAAGTAGAAACAGAAAAATAAAGTGGGGGGGATGATGAGGCTTGGGTGTGGGCTAATTAGCCCCAATCAGCATCCCAATGGCACCGGAAGCTGTTTGTGATGGATCACTCAACCCCAACCTGGCAGGGGGTCAGGAACAATTGCAGGTGGCATGCCCTAGAGCAAGCACGTCATGGAATGCATTCTTCTGGGAACTATAGCTGGGGGGCTGGGTGCTATTTTCCTCTTAGGCTATTTTTCAGGGCGAGGCCGGTGCAGTAGGACAAGTCCTTGGAATGTGGAGGGTCTTAGTCTCCAACACACCTCCACATCATGTCCCCCTGGAAGGTCTTCAGGGGCAGTAACATACATGGAGCTGTCATCCCCTCTGATAACAAAATCTTCTGGATACCTCCCGAAGGACCTGCCTGAGGCTGTTTTATAGTTAACCTTTTTTCTTCAAATGTAGGAGTCCATTCTAAAATAACAATAAATATGCTCATAATGGTAGGCTAAAAGAAAATACAAAATTAAAAAAAGAATAAACAAAAAACAATTAAAAAATGAAATAACAATAAAAAGTATGGAACAGTAAATACATAAGCCAGTAACAGTCATTTATTGTCGTCATCAGGTATTATGGATTGTTCGTAATTGCATGTATTTTATGCAATTTTATACAACTGGCAACGCAGTGGATTTATTTACACGAGACTTACCACAAACGTGTTGAATGATACATTGGGCTAGGATATTACAATGGCTACGACATCACTAGGCGAAAGGAGTTTTTTAGCTTGGTTGTAATTTTATGGGACCACCGTTGTATATGTGGTCTGTTACTGACCACAATGTCCTTATGTGACACATGACTGTGTATATGTATATACAAACACATGCTCTCTTATATACATATGTACATATGCACACACACGTACGTAATGTATATTTTAGAGGGATTTTGTGTAATATAGTGATGTAAGTACAAAGCTATAGTTTTATGTTATATAACGTTAGGCATTATCTTAATTCCATTTGAACATGTATTTATTTATTGAACATCTGTTTGTTTTCAGGCATTTTAGCGGATATGTAAAAACATAAGAATCCTAGGTTTTGGTTCTTTGTCGTTAAAAAGCTATAGCTTCATTTGCAAGACGGAAAATATGAATTGAGAAAACATATCCGATACGATCAAGTAATCTGGGTGATACAGGATGCTTTAGAAGATTAGAAGATTGGATGTGAGGCATGACCATGGTAAAACTGGAACACCCAAGAAAGGCGTTGTCAAGGAGGTAGATTTGAGTTGAACTTGAATGTTGGCTAGGGAAACAGGAAGAGGCCTAAGAAAAAAAGATATTAACAGTGTTAATATCTGTTTGAGTATTGAGACCAGCTTGCTTGAAACAGAAGATATTAATACTTGTAGGAGCATCGTGGGTGGTAAATGAAACTTAAAGTTAATTTGTGTGCAACTTTATTATGGAGAATATTAAACGCTAAAGTTTAGGAGTATGAGCTCAGGCCGTAGAAGGTTTCAGAACAGGGAAAAAGTATTCTTGTCCCGAGGCAGACCTACCTGGTCAGCCAAATCATTATTCAGGAAGTCTCATGATGAATCAGAACTAAGAAGGCAGGTGAATCTGATGTTTAGATCGAGCCATCTCCGTAGGAATCGTCTTTGCGCTGCAGCTGGAATGTTCTGTCATCCTCTTTTATTTTTTTACTTTTAGGATTCACTGACAAATCTCCTTCCTCACATGGAATTGTCACTTTACTTCTTTAAATAGCACAGATATCTTCGATATTTTTACTTTTCTGGTTTTGATATTTTGGGGGCCTTCCTTTCTTCAAGAAGACTTTGTTTTTCTCTGATCCGAGTTATAATGATTTGATAACTCTAAGAAGGCAGCTTATTTTCAAGTTACTGGAAAAGGTGCCCATACTCACCCAGTCTTACTCTTTTTCTTGCAATCCCCTGCCAAAAAGGATCTTTATTCCACCCCCAATTTTACCTTCCATCTATCCATCCACACACCTGCTTGCTTATTTACCTGTCAACTTATCTATTCATCTGCAATTCCCTTAGAAGCTTTGTGGTTTAAATGAGGTGGGAAAAGTGAATATATTCCTATGATGAACTTAGGCAAAAAAATATTAATGGCAGTATCAGTTTCTTTCCAATTTTGGTGAGGCTGGCTAAAAACAGGGAGGTGTGAAACATTTGGAGCAGAAATGTGGTCCTAGGGAAGGGACAGGAAGCGGAAAAGGGAAGCCAGAGACTCAAAAGTTAGCATCTAATTAGCTTATCTTTATCCATGGTAGACCAGATACCCGCTGGGAGTATATGTGGCAATTGTATGTCAAGTTGTTTTGAAATGGTAGACTTTTTGAGCTTAACTTTTGTTAGGGAGAATCATTATCCTTTATATAATGTGTGTGTGTGTGTGTGTGTGTGTGTGTATATATATTTAAACTAGCTGATTTGAGGTAAATTTATATATACTCTGATATAAAGAAAGAGACATCTTTCTAACTTTGTCCCAAGCTTGAGAGATAGGACCTTAGTCTTGGTTGTAAATCAGTTATGATTTCACATTACTATTCACAGGTGGAAAAGAGACAGCAGTGGAAATAAAATCGCCCATCCTGTTTCTGGGAAACACATCCTACAGTTTGTTTGCAATAAAAGGAAAGACTGCGGAGAGTGGCCATCCCAGGGTGAGCGTTAAAATGAAATCAAATTCATGTTAAGTGCTTGTTAGTGGTTTTACTTACGGCAACAAGGTTATTGTTGTGCATATTTTCTACCCACGTGTTTCTCCCCAGGTCAAGTAGTCATTCTTTGTCTTTCATCCCTGTAACAAAGTGTCATTGTCGGTGACAGTTTAGGATAATCCAAGGCCATTAGAATCTAATTCTGGTACCTTCGGGAAAGAACATAGGCTTTGGAGTTAGATCTAGTCTTGTGTTCTGGCCTTTCCTCTGACAATTGGGTTATAAGGAGTTCAGGCCCTCATCTTTAAAACAAAGGTATCTACCTCCCAGGGTTACTAGAGATAGCATATAAACACATGGTATACAGGCCAGGCGCCGTGGCTCACGCCTGTAATCCTAGCACTCTGGGAGGCCGAGGCAGGTGGATCGTTTGAGTTCAGGAGTTTGAGACCAGCCTGAGCAAGAGTGAGACCTCATCTCTACTAAAAATAGGAAGAAATTAATTGGCCAACTAAAAATATATAGAAAAAATTAGCCGGGCATGGTGGCGCATGCCTGTAGTCCCAGCTACTTGGGAGGCTGAGGCAGGAGGATCGCTTGAGCCAAGGAGATTGAGGTTGCTGTGAGCGAGGCTGACGCCATGGCACTTTAGCCTGGGCAACAGAGTGAGACTCTTGTCTCAAAAAAAAAAAAAAAGGAAAGGCTTTTCTGAGGAGGTCACATTTGTTTTTTGCTTAATTTCTATTAGCCAGATAGTCAGACTTCACTTATGCTGAGAGCAATGACATAATAATGATTTCATCTTGGATCTTCTTTTTATCGTTATTTGAAATTCTATCAAGCAGGGAACTGTTTGTCATTGATATTTTGAGAGTTACTCATCTCATGAGTGTATTTTGAGTATCTTTTGTCAGCTAATATTTCAGACATTGGGATACAACAGAGCAACCAAAACAAACATCCCTGTCTTTTGGTGCTCACATCTAGTAGGAGAGACAGATATTATAAGATAAATAAAATAAATTCAACATATTGTATGTTAGAAGGGATAAACATTAAGAAAGAAACTTAAGGAAGATAGAGGACTAAGAAGTGTTTGAGAGTTCACAGTTTAGACAGGGAAGTTAGAGACAGCCTCCCTGAGAAGATGACATTTGACTAAAGACCTGAGGGACGTAAATGAGTGAGCCATGTGGATATCCGGGGAAAAGCATCTTGGATAGATTTCAAAGCAGGTGCAAAGGCCCGTGGTAGGAGGATGTCTGGCATGTCCTGGGAATGGAGGAAGTTGTGTGGCTGGAACAGAAGAACAATGAGGAAGAGTCATTTGCTGTATTCTTTCTTGCCTCCAGGCCGCCTTTCCTTAGTTTGAGTTTGGAACGTGCCAGGAAATTAATTTGATTGGCCCAATTTGCCATAGGCTATAGCCTTGGACCATTTCCATAGTGAAATATATAAGGTATCCTATATTGGCTGCTTCCATTAGAAACGAGGTGGTTAGAGAAGAGCATGTCACAGAGGAATGGGGACATCACACAGGAATGTTATGGGCAGATAAAATAATAAATGTCCACTGTACCATTCAATAAATATTTGTTGAAGATTCAAGGCTTTTCTTTTTTTTTTTTTTAATATAACTCTTAGGGATGGTGGATCCAGGAGAAAAGATCAGTGCCACATTGAAAGAGAATTTGGTGAGGAAGCTCTCAACTCCTTACAGAAATCCAGTGCTGAGAAGAGAGAACTAGAGAACAGCTGCACAAACTCTTCAGCCAAGAAATCTATCTCTCAACCCC